GTGTGTGTGTGTGTGCTTTTTCTCATGCGTGTGGCTCAGTCAATGGCTGACTGAACATGCGGGCTTCTCCGGACAGTCTACAGGTGTCAGACAAAAATTCAAACTTTTCTAGAACCCTCAAGAGCCGGCTGTTTTGGCGAGATAAGGAACCTGTTTCTCAAACTGATCCGCGACTTGCTTTCCTCCTTTCACATTATCCTGTTGGGATACAACCGCTAGAGCAGTTTTATGTTTACCACAACAGCAAAATTAGTTATGACACAGATACATACTCGAAAGACTGACTGGAAGGAGGTTAAACTGACCTTGTAGTGCGCAATCTCCGGATCCTCGTTGAGCGAGCGAAAGGTCAGACAACACTGTTGTAACTTGGACTTGGCGTCATTCCACTCCTGTTTCAGAATAAACTCAACAAGACGGGGCCAAAAGCAGACCTGGCAGAAGCGTTCTACCCAGGTCATATCCTTGTCCACGTAAAGGGCGCCGATAAAAGCTAGGTATAGACGTATGAGCATACAGTTGGACATGTGTAATAAAGAATGTGGACGACACCCAAAAGATAAAGGTTAGATTTGTAAACGCCCCTACTCTCTACAAGGTAGAGTTAACGTAATGAAAGTAAATCATTAATAGCGCAAGTGTCTAGCCTTTAGAAGCACTGGACTCTGTAGGAGCACCTGCCCAACAACTCCATACAGAGATTCTTGCGCAGAAAAAGCAAGTAGTACGGTATGAGTAGATAGACACCTCCTCAGCACTTTGGTGTAAGACCACTCACTGCCACGGAGGTGGTGGTAAAATTGGTTTTACAGGTGGGGCTTCTACAGCCTTACTGAAAGCTTGTCAGCCATATCTATCACCTTCGCGAAAATAGACATGCAACAGGTTGCGTGGTTTCCTATTGGTTGCTTATAGAGATTTTCTGACTAGCTGCACAGTTTCAATCGTATCGCCCCACACCTTTTTTACCACTATTAACCTTGCACTAAAATGCGGGGGAGGGTATCCCTATTCATATCCAACCGAGCACTTATCTGGGCTGTCAACACTGATAACAAAACGGGTAGGCCCATGTGCTCTAACATACTACCCTCCTCCGTAAAGTCCTCCAGCCGCCCGCGAAAATGCCATTAAAGCATCTTCTACGCAAAGTAACACAAATGGCCTTCCCGGGTTTCTGGATGAAAAGGCAAATTACTTTTTTTGTTCTAAAAAGGAGTTGAATAAGACTTCACGACATTTTATAACGTCGTCAAATTTTGCACATTTCTTCGTCCTTGCCTTGTTCAAGTTTACTTCGGAAAAATAATTTGTCAACGTAAAAGCGATATTTTGGTAAGAAGAGCTCCTCGGATAAGCAAACGGTTGAGGTCTAACAAACATTTTTAAGACAAAAATATGCTCTCTATTTTCTCGGCAGTCCACTTTCATTTGGAGGTGTCCCTGAGGCTTATGAGCCCCACGTAATAATTTTCGGTGAAATCGTCCTAGTAATGATTTTGATTAGTTCGCGGACACAAATCTCAAAATGCATGGCTGACTAACAAATTTTTCTTGTATTAAGAATTGTGCGGCCAGTAGACAACGGGTATATTCAAACAGGCCAGTGAAAATGTCTCTAATTTACAGATTCCGTATGCTACCTTCAAAGATAAGATGCGAAAGCATATGTAAGAACGGAAATGAATATTTTTCAATACAGCATAGGTTTGCCAATACAAGCGAACATCCGTGTCCCAGGAAGCAATTGAGAA